AGTCAGATGTCATCGGCGAGGTCATTGAAAGGTCAGATGTCATGGCCGAGGTCAGCAAGACGTTGCAGGACTGAGCAGAGGATTCGAGGATCGGACGACGCTGCTGCCGGGGGATGCAGGGATGAGGATGCAGCAACAGCAGCAGCTTCAGCTTCAGGTAGTGTGGTCAGTGACGAAGCGAGTGGGGGGAGGATGAGGTTTGCGATAGTCGATAATGAACCGGGTTTGCATTTGGAAAAGTGTATTGTGGGACTTGTTGGCTGCTGTGCAATGAAATGATGGCTATTTAAATGTTGTACAGGTAAACCTCGATTATGCGACCGAAACGGGCGGGAGGATTTTGTTCAGATAAATGATCTGATCGTATTAGCCGTTAAATATTAACTGACCTTGAGATCTTGTTCGGATAATCAAAAATTCGGATAATTGATGTTCGGAAAACCGAGGGTTTGACTGCAGTTGTTTCATTCAATGCTAGTTTATTATGCATTATATTTTAATCAATGTTGTAGTTTTAACAAATGGCATAGATGATGACGTCACCACAAATGGCATAGATGATGATGTCACTGCTGGTGACGACATCACAAATGGCATAGATGATGAGTCTCGCATTAGTGACCTGTGCGAAGAGACAGGAAAGAAAGACGGCAAAGCAGGAGGACAGAACGTCGAAGCAGGTGATCAACAAGATGACGTCGCATACAAAAGACGAGAAAGCGAAACACCAGAAGAGCTACAAGAACCTGAGGAACCGAACAACCAACACATGCCATCTTCAGCAAAAGAATCGGAAGAAGACGACAGCAACGGCAGCTCCCCCTATAGCACGACCCCCAACTACGTATTTGGTGAGGCGGTCCTCACCACCACTGCAGAGAAAGAAGAGGAGCTGAGAGAGAAGGAAGACAAGAAGGAGATGGAGGAGGAAGATAAGGTGGAAGAAGAGGACAAGGAAGTGGAGGGAGTCGCCGGGAGGCACGAGGATGCAAAGCCGTCGAAGTTCGACCAAGAGATGGCGCCGCCGCTCGTTGTCAACGACGTCATCCTCGACGATGTTGCCGTCGGCAACAACATAGCTGATGGCTTTATTGTTGGTGACGTTGCTGCTGGTGACGTCACAACAAATGGCATAGATGATGACGTCACCACAAATGGCATAGATGATGACGTCACCAGAAATGGCATAGATGATAATGTCACTGCTGGTGACGACATAGGAACGAGGATGCAAAGCAGTCAAAGTGCGACCATGAGATGGCGCCGCCGCTCATTGTCGACGACGTCATCCTCGACGATGTTGCCGTCAGCAACAACATAGCTGATGGCTTTATTGTTGGTGACGTTGCTGCTGGTGACGTCACAACAAATGGCATAGATGATGACGTCACCACAAATGGCATAGATGATGACGTCACCAGAAATGGCATAGATGATAATGTCACTGCTGGTGACGACATCACAAATGGCATAGATGATAATGTCACTGCTGGTGACGACATCACAAATGGCATAGATGATGAGTCTCGCATTAGTGATCNTTCATTCTTAGTGGACGTTGCTGCTGTGACGTAAAACGGGGATGGGCATAGACGGAGACGTCACACAATGGATATATGATGATGAATCCTATGGGCAATGATGTCATCTGCATTATGAATGTGGAAGAACAGAAAAGAAGAGGCAAGAGGAGGACAGAAGTCGAGCAGATGATCAACAAGATGAGTCGATACAAAAGAAGAAAGCAAACACCAGAAGAAGCTAAGGCGCATGAGGACGGACAACCAACACATGCAATATTTCAGAAAGAGATTGGAGAAGAGACTGAACGGCAGCTTCCCTATGCAGCCCTATACGTCTTTGGGGAGGGGCCCCCACCAGCATGAGAAGAAGGAGCTGCGAGAGAAGGAAGACAAGAAGAATGGAGGAGGAAGATAGGTGGGAAGCGAGGAAAGGGAAGTGGAGGGAGTGCGGGAAAGGCACGAGGATGCAAGCAGTCGAAATGCGCATGAAGATGGGCCGCCGCGTCATTGTGACGACGTCATGCCTTGACGATGTTGCCGTTGGCAAAACAAGGCTCGACCTCGCGCCCCCTTCCCCACATTCCGCCCACATAGCGCCTCCCCCCCCGCCCGTCCACCGCCTCCACCCCGATCCACCCGCCTGCCCCCGAACTAACCACCCCCCCTAGCCCCGCCTCGCTCTCACCCCCCACCCCCCAACCCCCACCCCACCCACTCCGAGCCACTCCCCCCCATAACCGACTACGCCATCCCATGCATACCCTCCCACCCGACTCCGTACCCCCCCAGACGACCCACCCCCCCCATGGCCCATCCAGATAGCCCCCGCGCTCACTCCTCCTCCCCACCCTACACCTGTCACCCCGAACCACCCACCTCCGCTCAGAGCGACAAGACCCACGACCCCCAAGAACCCAGCACACCCCCGCAACCACGACAGACCCCGCGACGAAGCCAGAAGTCAACAGCGGATGATACCAAAATGACAGCTACCCAGTAATAGCAAACACGAGAACACGCCCAATCAAGCCAGCAGAAGCGACTAACCAGCAGCACCCTGAGGAACAGACAAACCAAACTGGCCATCACGCGAAAGAACCTCGGACAGAAGACGACGCAAACGGCAGCATACCACTCTAGCACGAACCACACCACTAACCACACTATCGATATTAATGGCAAGGCGATCCCCACGCACCACTGACACACACGAAGAAGACGAGGCCCAACCCCTAAGAGACGAAGACCGCACAGACACACGCAAGAGCAGATGAGAGGAGAGATACGAGTAGAGACCAAGAAGAGCGAAAGGAAGACGGAGGAGCAGCCATAAGCCAGGAGGCCACACCACCCCAACCCCCCACCACCCCCCCCCCCCACACCCCACACCCCCCCCCAACCGCGCCATGCACACCGCCAGCCCCCACCTCCGCCACCACCCAGATCGCGCACCAACACCCCCAAACCACCCCCCCACACACCACCACCCGAGATGCCGACGTCGACCCCCAACCCACACGCTCTCCCTTCGTCCAGCCACCACGGCCCTATCGACAAGCCCGCCCCCCTAATCTCGCCGTCGGCAAACCCAAATAGCTCGATCAGCCTTCATTCTCATCGATGCACCGCACCTCTGCCATCGTACACGGTCCGACCACTCACACCCACAACACCCCAAACCCACCACCCACAACACAACAAAAAACAACCACAACCCCAACCCACAACCCACACACGCCCCCCACACAAACCACAACGAAAGGCATACACGAACTCGATGAAGCAAAAACAAACCCCCACAACACAACCACAACCCCACCAACCAACAACATGCCGCAACTAATAATCACATGACGCCAACACACAAATACATAACACGCCAGATACGAATAAGATACCTGACATCTCCTTCACGGCGCCCCTCGCCTGCCCACACGACCAGAAAGCACCGGCAACCCACGCCGCGAGCACAAGAAAAGCCTCCGCAAAGAGACACGATGATCAACAGACACCACCCTCGAGCTCGATACAAAAGACCAGAAGAGAAAAACCCACAGAGAAGCTCCCAGCTCCACCTGAGACAACCGCGACACCAAACCCCACCAACCACCCCCCAAACCAGACAACAACCCACCCACCAACCCCACCCACACCCACACCCACAAAACCACCCCACACCCCCACACATGCCAATAATTCGCCAAAAAGAATTGAAGACCAGACGACAGCGCCACCGGCAGTCAGCACCTTCAGCTCGAAACACCCCACTCGCTATATATGATGAGCCGAGACGGATCAACCCCCCCCCCAACCACCAAAACAAACGCAGAACAAGAAAAAGAGCTTGACCACAGAGCAGCATAAGGCAAAGAACCAGAGAAGCATGAGAGCACAGCGAGAAATAAGACGCTGAAAGAAGAGAAAAGGAAAGTGAACAACGAGGAGTCGCCGGAAAGGCAGAACCCCAAGGCAATCCAACCCAACCCACACATCGAAAATGCGAACCAAATAAAGAGCAAATGGCCACGCCCACCACCAACACAACACACAACCCGCGCTCCATATGTACGCCACACCACCGAGTCATAAACCTCCCCCAACCCAAGAAAAGACTGATTGCCAACCGTTGGCAACCCAAATACAGCTGACTGGTACATTGTTCGCTAGCAGTATCGCTAGCTGGTGACAGAATACAAAACAAAAATGACATAAGCACTGATGAAGATACCCCCCAAACCCAAAAACATAGGCACATAAGCCTCCGACGAGCACCCCACAGAAATCGCGCCCTACCGATAGATAATCCCCCAGTCACCTAGCCTGCGTGACGACACTACCACCTGGCATAGACCCTTGCCCTGAAGTCTCCGCCATTACGCTTGAATACCCTGCTGCGACACGCCAGCCCGCCAAACAGAACAGACGGCCAAGCCCCCGGACAGACAAACGAACGTAAAGAACCCGATGACTCCCCAACAGATGACCGCATCCGCTACTCACACGACGAGAAAAAAGCGCAACAACCCAGAGAAACTACACACACAACTGCCCGCGAACCCGGACCACACCCACACAACTGCGAAATACCTTCAGCCCAACCAAGATTGGCAGAAAGACACCGACCCCAACGCAAACGGGCAGATCACCCTAATCAGCACCGACCCAACACGACTACGCTAAATCTCATGGAACGAGAGACAAGATAAAAAAACACCCCCCAACTACAGCAGACGCAGGACAAGAAAGAGTCTGAGAAGCAGAGAACCAGAAAGAAAGAGAATAGGAAGGAGAAGATAACGCGTAGGAAGAAGAGACAAAGAGAAGAGGAGGAAAGTCGCACGGCGACCGATAGGAACACCGCAAACAGACAGCTCGAAAAAAAAAAAGATGCAGAAAAGAAATGCGCACGACAAGGTTGAGAAAAACGTCAACCAGCTCGACGATGATTGAACCGTTGGCCAAAAACACATAGGGCTCGCACTAGGCTTTACATAAATGTTAGATAAGACGTAAATGCTAAAAATACACAATGTGAAGTACAACAAAAAAGAAAAAACCACAACAAAAAAACAAAACAAAATGCGATACAGAATGATAGAGTAACAAAATTGATACGATGAGAATCGTCCAGCTAGCATTACGATACAGACAGACATACCCAAAACAAAGTGGAAATAACAGATCGATAGATCTAACGACATAATAGTGAACCTGATGAAGAAGAACAAGGAAAGAAAGAAAGCAAACCGAGAAGAGGAAAAGAACGATCCAAAGGTGTGATCTCAAAAAAGAAGAAGCATAACAAAAGAAGAGAAGTAAGAAACACAGAGAGCAGATACAAGGCCGCTGAGGAGGACAACAACACATGACCATCTTCAGCCGAACAGAATCCGGAAGCAGCGAAGAGGCAGCTCACCTTATAACACAAAAACAACATGCAAAAGACTCACCTAATTATGTAATTGCGAGCGGATCCACGCACCAACTGCAGAGAAGAAGAGGAGTGAGAGAGAAGGAAAGAAGCAAGGAGATGGGGAGGAAAGATAAAAGGTGGAAGAAGAGGAAAAGGAAGAGAGAGGGTACGCCGGAGCACCGAGATGGCAAGACACGACCAAAGTCGAAGCTAGACAACCGCAGAGTGGAAGCAACAGCCGCCTAAACGTATGTCACGACGTCAACGTCAACGAGTTGCGTTGAAACAAATAGATGATGGGATACTAATTAGTTTGTACAGAGTTGCTATAAACTGTGAGACAAACAAACAAATGGCATAACAGATAGATAGAGTCACAAACAAATTGCATGACGACTGATAGATGTAACTGGTGGTGACGACACTCACAAATAGGACTAGATGATAAGAGTTGGCATTAAGTGACAAGGCTGGCGAGAGACAGAAGAAAGCGGAAAAGCGGAGGGAAGAAAAACGTAAAGCAGGTGATCACCAAAGAACCGATCGCATACTAAAGCGAGAAAGGTGAAACACGAGAGAGCTACAGGACTGAGGACGACAACCACACGATGCCGATCTTCAGACGAAAGCAATCGCGAAAGAAGAAGAAAGCACAGGCGTCAGCCTTATAAGCAAGAACGCCTAACTATGCTATATACCAAAACCCCAACAACTCGGCAAGGAGGCGAAGACTCACCAACCCAAACACCTCGAGCACCACCCGAAGCAACAGAAGAAGGAGCTGAGCAGAGAAAGAGAACAAGGAAGCGAGATGGAGGAGGAAGAATAAGGGGAAGAAGAGGACAAAGGAAGCGAGGAAGAGGAGTCAGCGGGCCAACAGGACACCCCCCACGAGGATGCAGACAGCGTACCGTTCGACAAAACACACAAACAAAACAGATGGGCGCCAAACACCCCAAAACCACACACCCGCCTCGTTGATCAAACGAACGTCAACCCTCGCGATGTTGACCCAACGTCAAGGCAAACATAAGCTGATGACTGCAAAATCTATGGTGAAAGTATGATCGCAGATTGAGTCAGCAGTACGATGGCATTGATGATGAGTCAAAATGGCATATATGATGATGACAGTTACT